CCAGGGGTTTTAGCAAGGCCAGAACTGAGAAACTTGAGTCCTCTGATTCTGAAGCCAGCGTTCTTTGAAGTTTAAGACATGAAAATAAGAGGCCATTCCTACTGGGTGGGCGTTGTCGTTGGGGCAGGTTCACCATCCGATCCAGATTGCTATCCTTTTGTGGGTTCACTCCTGCTGCTTGGATCTTCTTGGCTTTTAGAATGTCATCTTGAGCTAGAAATGGTTGCTTGGCAATAGAACTTTTAATAAAAGTATCTAGTATTTGTATTTGTAGGTATGAATCCTAATTACCAGAATGGCCAACATGAAGGATATGCAAAGAATAATGACGAAATGATGCAGAAGCGTAAAAGCAGAACGCAAAGAAACGTGCCCATTGAGCTCACCAGTGCCGAGGAAGCAGATGGCTTCCAGCAGTCAACCTGAGGAAACGCAGTGGCTGGCAAGGACATGTGGGCGCTTCATCCATTCATTCATTCATTCCCCTCCTGGGAGTGAATCCCCGCGTGGCACTGGAAGGTTGCGTTTTGCTGAATTGGATAAGGGACTCGGGATGTTGTTAGTTGGTTGTTTTTTTTCCCCCCTTTGTGTGTGTGCGGGGGGGGGGGGAGGTGGAGGCTGTGATTAAGCGTTTACCTTACACAAACTCTGGTACATTTCGCTCTTCTGGCGACCTGCTAACGTCTAAAAGATGGATACCCCCGCGGGCATCCCATGGGACAGATGTTACCGCAGGCCCTAAAGCAGCGGCCTTCTCCTCTAGTCTCATTCTGTCTGTCCTTGGGTGTCCACAAATGGTAGCCTTCTTCGCCCGGCTCCCCTCCCAAGAGAAGCTGAGGGCACAATTTTTTTAGTTTTGTACCCCTTCCTCCCTAACCCCCACCCCGTCCCGCCTCCCTGATCTTCTCTCTCCATCTCCCTTCGCCACCTCCCCAACCCCCCTGGTTTCCCCGCCTCCCTACCCCCTCCTCTACGACTCACCAATCCCCCCCCATCCCCTTCTCCCCGTTTCCTCCACTCCCCCCGCCCCGCGCCCCTCCTCTGTGTGAGCAAGGCCCGAGAGAAAGGCTGCCAGATACAGACACAGACGGAGACGCAGACGCAGACACAGACACAGACTCTTGCCACCACCGCCCTTCTACATACTGCAGGGCCAATCTTTATTCTGAAGCCGTGTCGGCTCAGCCGGCGCTCGGGGGAGTTGGGGGTGGGAGCGGCTGACCACCTAATCTTCGGCTTGCTCCTCGGCGAGGGTGCGACTGTGCTCGTTGAACGGAATGATGACGAGCAGCACCAGCATCTCGAGCACTATGCCCAGGAAGGGCCAGAGAGCGGCCAGCCGGCTGCGCACCTTGAGCAGGACCACGGCGGCATGATAGCCCTCGCCGTTGGTGCCCACGCAGATGTACTGGCCGGGACCTCGGACGCGTCTAGACGGCGGAGAAGCAGCTCGCGGCGGTGGGCGCTCTCGATGATGAAGAGCCGCTGCTCCGTGCCGTTGAGCAGCAGCACGTCTCCCTTCACGTTGTGGTGCCGATACCAAGACCAGTAATCGATGGAAGGATACGAATGGCTCTCTCACACAAGGATCGCGTCTTCGCCCTCCAGGGCGCGCTCGGTCTTGGGGTTAGCGAACACCTTGGGAGGCACCTTCACGCGCCCCAACGTCTTCCGGTCGGTCAGCTTACCCCGGAAAACGCACTGGTAGTCAGTCTCCGGTCTGGGTCCGCGCAGGCACCGCATACTCCTTCGCGGGGCTGACGAGGTGGTCCTCCTCGAGCTGCGGGTCGCCCTCGACACATCGGCGCCCGGCCGTGTGCGTCAGGTCTCTCTCGAGCGGCGCCTCTCCCTCTGTCTGGTTCAGGGTGCAAGTGAGGTGCAGCTGGGGCTCGGAGTCGGCCACGGTTTTCCATGCGGCAGCGGGTCGGACTTCCCAATGGGCAGCACCAGGAAGCTCAGGAAAACTGCCCACAACGGCTTGCACCGTAACGCGAAGTCCATTGCCCAGAGACTTCTAACAGGCCGGGGAGTGTCCGCCCCGTTCCCACCTGTGGCCCGCGCACCTCCTCCAGACCACATCCTCCTGCGGCCGCTCCCTCACGCTCAGTAGGATTCACTTGTCCCGGCGTTGCTATAGGGAGCCCAAAAGCACGTACGCGTGATGACATCACAATTAGCCCTCAAAGCATCTAGGGACCGTTACAACTTCCCGCGTCCCGCTAGCTCTTACATAAGCTAAAGAGCTGCTCTCGTGTAGTCATTTTTCTGTCGTGTCCCATTCTCTGTGACTCCATTTAGGGTTTTCTTGGCAGAGATGCTGTAGTCGTTTGCTATTTCCTTCTCAGCTCATTTTACACATGAGGAAACTGAGGCAAACGGGGTTCAGTGACTTGTCCAGGGTCACCCAGCTAGGAAGTGTCTGAGGCCAGATTTGAACTCAGGAAGCTGAGTCTTCATGACTCCAGGCCCGGCACATTAAAGGGCTCCATAGTGCCTTAAACCCAGCCTCCAGACAGTCCCCCTGTCCAGCCGGCTTACCTTCCTCTTCACTCTCCAGCTGGGACCAACATTATTTTCTATTTGGGGTCTCCTCTGGTGACCAGGGCGATCTTCCTGACTTTCAACTGAAACCTGCCTCTTCGTACATTCCAAACACTGCCAAGGCCACGACATTAAAAGAGCCATCATTTCCACCTCCAGGCTTCTCTCCCCCAATTCCCTCAGCTGACAGACGTGAGATGAGCTCAGGGCTCTGATCCTTCCCCATAACGCCCCTCCACAAACCTTCCGGCTTGCTCACACTCCATTCTACCGGCTGGATGGCTGGTTTTTCCTGACAAGCCTCAATTTACCTCACAATAACTTGATCACAGTGGCTCTGCCCTTTGGGGACACTTATTTGAAAGCACTTTAAAAACTTAAATAACTAGCCTGTCTCTTCTCCAGGCAGAATAGCGGGAGCTCCTTTCGAGGATCTCCAGCTTTAAGCAGCCCCCCTTCCCAGTGACCTCGCCATCAAGCTTTCCTTTCGGTGGACACTCAAACTGAGCCACCCTCCATTTTGTTTGAGAGTGGCTCTGATCCCTAGGGAGTTCCTTCCCTCCTGCCTCCCTTAGCCTCTTCATAAGGCCGATGGGACATCTTCGTTGTGCTACTGCCTAGTACATAGTACATAGAAGGATGGCACTGCTAGAGATGGCACCTGCAGATGAAAAGGAGGCCCAGAGAAGGCAAGAGGCTGGCTCGAGGTCACACAGCTTGGTGTAGGGCAATGCCACACCTTGCAGCTGAGGCACAAGGCCTTCCAAATGGTGAAAGGTCTAAAGGAGAGCACAAAATGTGCTCCAGTGCCCCATTGTTTGGGGAAGACTTGGTTGGCCCCGAGGTTTTCCCTCAGTTCCTTTTCACTGAAGCAGGCCCAAATGATATGCTTAGGCCAGGAGCACTTACTAAAGACTGCCCTTTTCTTTTCCCTAAGTACATCTAATGGTCTGATTTTCTGCAATGACATTTGGGGTTACTGAAATCACTGAAGGCCCAAAATGGGGGAGGGGCTGAGTCATCTTGGCTTTCTCTGGTCATTAAGTGCCCTGGGAGGGGAGGAGGGCACTTCACCAGTCTGGTGAGTCACTAACAGCACCCTTGGGAGATGATTCACTTCCACTCACTACCTGAGTGCCTTTAGGAATGTCACTCAGCTTCTCTGGGCCTCAATTTCCCCATCTGTAAAATTGAGTAAAGGTCCTTCAGGCCCTGTCTCCTTGTGGACTGGGTACAGAAGACTAGCCTGAGGGTGAGGAGGGACAAAGATGAAGACCCTATAAGAGCTCAAACCTAGTAGAGGGAGGAAAAAAACAGATTATAATGCAAAAGAGAATGGTAGAGAGCAGCTAGGTGGCGCAGTGGATAGAGCACCAGCCCTGGAGTCAGGATGACCTGAGTTCAAATCCAGCCTCAGACACTTACCAGCTGTGTGACCCTAGACAAGTCACTTAACCCCAAATGCCTCACACAAAAAAAAGAGAGAGAATGGTGGCATAAACTGTGTTTCAACAGGGAGGAGTTTGGAGTGGGGAAACCAGGGCAAAGACATTCTAGGCACAGGGAAATGGTGTAATCTAAGGCCAAGAGGAGGGGTATGCAGGATGTGTCTAGGGGATGACAAGTAGCTCACTTCACCCATAGCTAATTTGGGGGCATGCCATCCCACAGCTCCAGCACTCGGTCTAGTTTTGCCTTTTCCCTTGGAGTCAGTGAGGGGAGGGGTGGGGACCAGTGGGCAACAGCAGCTGCAAGGCTGGCCTTGGGCCACATCTGTCCATCTCCAGGGCCCCTGGGCAGCTTAAAGGGGTGTCTCTTCCCTTGGATACTTTGTCTGATCACTGGGTGGGGGTGATAAAGTTCCAATTTCAAAGCCAGGCAAGCATGAAGCTTCTGGATTCCAGCTGTCCAATGGAAACTAGCAATCAATAGATGTCCCCCTCAGATGGGTTTTTGGAACCAGCCTGAGTCTGAGCAAGGCATCTTCCCCAAGGGGTCCAACGACTCTTGGAATGGAGGGCTCCAAGGACAACTTGTGTTTGCCTGAGGCTTCCTAACAGTCCGTGGTGGAGAGAAAGCTGCCTTTGTTCCCAAAGGCCAGGAACCAAATCTTGACTGCCACTTAGTGCCCTGGTGAGAATGGGTTAGTCATGGGCCCACCTCTCCTGTTCACTCGCTTTTCCCTCAAATGAGGGGAGTGGACCAGAAGACTTCCAAGGTCCCTTCCAGCTTGACCTCTATGACCCTCTAATCATGGTAGCTCAGAGCACTTTTCTGATCCTTGGGATTCCTCACCTGTAGAATGGGCATGATATTAGCTCCCTGCTGCTGCAAGGCTCAAATGAGACAAGGACCCAAAGCATCTCAAACACTCATAGTGCCAAATGAAGAGAAGGGGTGATGGGCTGTGCACGTGGCCAAGGGTGAGAGATCTGGCCAAGAGGATCACCCAGTGGGTGTTGAGAATAATATGCAGTCTAGATTTATTAACAGACAAATCCAATAGAAATGATGGCCAGCATGCAGAGGGGACCCTGTCCTTGCCCATCCCTTATGCCCTTGACCCTCCCTCCACCCTCCACATACCCTTCGGCAGTTAGTCCTGTAAACAGTCACAGCCCCGTGACTCCATAGCTAATATGCCAGTCCTCTCTCCCCATACATATAAGGGTGGCTCCCTATCAGGTCAACAACTTGTTCCCAACAGCTTTGTAGGGACCTGGGATGGAGGGGGAAGTGGGGACTGGGAGTGGAGAGGAAGTATTGTTCCTGGAAGGAAAAGGCAAAGACAGGCACAGAGTCACTGAAGAGTGGGGGGGGGGGTTCTGGAGCCAGACCCAACTGCCTGGCTTCCTCTGGCAGTGATAAGCTGTGTTGATCCCTGAATCCCACCCCCACCCTCACCCAACCCCTCCACTGTGACTTCCTCTGGCCTCTGGCTCAGATAGCAGAGGGTCCCAAGGTCAGGAGTGATCCTGGTAGGGCCCCCTTGGGTGGCTTCAGGGCCACAGACTGAGACCTAGAACCCTCTATTCTTCCATCCTCTGGTTTCAGGGGTGGGGGTGGGGGTCTCTGTTCCCAGGGGTCACCTCCCCCAGGAGAAGCAGTAAGCTTTCTTTCACTTGGGCTAGGCCAGGAAGAGAGGGATGTTGTCTGGCTCCAAGGCCCCCTCCAGGTGAGCTGGCCTTCCCGGAGCCAGGGCTAAAATGCTTTGGAGACTCTTTCTAGAGCACTTGCTTTCTTGAGGATGTTTGAAAGTAGTAAAGAGACATCTAAGGGCAAATCCTGGAATGGGGAGTGGGGAGGGAGCAGGGCAGGGAGCTGGCTTTTCTGTACCCGGGCTCCTCCTGCTCCATACTCTCAGTTCTATGAAGCCTGCTGGCCTTTGTCCTGCAGAAGGAAGTGAATTTTCTGGCCTGGTATCCATAGCTAGGTCAACTAGACAGACTCATAGGGCTTTGCCCCCCCACCTCCATCCCCTGGTACCCAGAGTCCTTTGTTCAACCTTCCCTTCAGATCACAGAGGTCCTGTACTCCTGCCCCTCCTCCCCATCAGTCTGCCTCCTCCCTAGAGCTAGAGAACAATGAGAAGGACATGGTACTTAGAATGACACCCCCCCAAGCCCAACTACCACCTAGGCAGAAAAGGAAAATCCAGTTCTCTGTCCTTTGGGATCTTTCCAAGCCTCCTTGGGGCAGTGGGTGAATAAGGCCACTGCCTCCCAGGGCTGGAGTTGGTCCTGTGGTCCCAGGAAGGTCAACTAGAGCAAACACATTAGGCAGTCCAATCAGACAAGTCAATTTCAGAGGAAAAGTTGGCCCCTAACACTCCTTAAACTGGGGCCAGCAGCTTCTTACATAGCCAACCGGAAGGCCCCGAAGTAACTGGAGGTGCCATCAGTATCATCCACAGCCAGGGAAGAGACAGATACCAGGAGCTCATCCCCTGCTTTCAACTCAAAGAGGCCCCCCTGGTAGATGGCATGGAGGCCATACTCAGCCTCTGGAGACCAGCACTTAGTGGCTACACCTTTGAGGAGCAGGATGGGCTGGCGGTAGGCTGTCTGCCTGCTAATGCACTGTACCAGCTGCTGGCTTGTGGGCTGGCTTCCTTCAGCCTCTGCTGGGTAGCGGAAGTAGATCTGAGAGTACACGTAGTACTTGCCCCCCTGGCTGACTCTCAGTGCACCTGCCTTGAAGGTGATATTCCGAAGGTGGGAGAGCAGGCCTCGAGACTCCCAATTGTGCAGAGGGTAGCGGCAGGACTGGGGCAGCGCCCCAAGGTGGTCAAGGTTGCCTAGAGGGAGATAAATGAGAGACAGTTCAACTCACTGAGCAATTATTAAGCACCTAGTAGATGGAGAACAGATTGGAAAGGCCAGAGACCAGAAACCGGGAGACTAGGTGGGGAGGAAGGCGCAGAGGCACAGGGTTAGAAGACAATTGGATCCCCAGTCTCCAGTCCCATCTCACACAGCCAGGGACCTCACCAAAATAATCCCCACTAGGCCATACCCAACAAGTGGGCATCCAGTCTCTGCTTGAAGACCTCCAGAGAGGGAAAAGCCACCGCATCACCATGCTTTGCCTAAACCTCCCTCTGTGCAATTACCAAGCACCCCCCCCACCCCAGCTTCTGCCCTCTGGAACCAGACAGAACAAATCTGCCTGCACGTGACAGCCATTCCAGAAACCTTCTCTTCTCCAGGGAAAGCATCCTCAGGGCCCTGAGGGAGGCCTCTCACTTGCCAGGAGATGCAGGGCAAGGAGTAGCCCTGGGCTGTCTGAAGAGTCAGCTTTTCCTTCAGACTCTATTACTCCAACTGCCTGGGGTCTCCCTAACCTAGGGCTGCCCTCCCCACAGGTTCTGGCTTGGGGAGAAGGAGATCCCTAACTTGGAAGTCTCCCCAAGGCCTCAAAATAAATCACTTCACATCTTACGTCACCTCCCCGATAACTTGCTTCTCTCTCTCTCCTTCACACCACACCCCCCAACCTTCGAAGCCAGCTAGCTAAAGGATCGTACTGCAGTCCTCAGCAACGGCTCTCCCATCTCCTGCCCCTTCCCCTCCATTCCTACTATATGATTCTTACTCCTGGGCCAAGTTTAGAGGCCTGGAGTGCTGGAAGGGTCCTTGGGGACCATCAGCTCCAAGCTGCTCATCTTGTAGGGGAGGTACTAGAGTACCTGCTGGGGGGAGGGGCCCGAGGGCCCCCAGGCAGCACAGCAGCCAGATCCAAATGGGCCTAGCTCCTGTGGCTCCTCCCTCGAGTCAGCCTACGCTCCCTAAGACATTTGTTAAGTGCCTACTATGTGCCAGGCGCTGTGTTAAGTCCTAAGCAGCCCACTCCTGGGCTCAAACTCTGGTCCCAGGCCAGCCTCGTCAGGCTTATCTGTCATTACTCTCCAACACGCCCCCTTGGCTTCAGCCATACTGGCCTACTTGCTGCTCTCTGTGAATGTTATAGACACTCCCACCTCCAGGTCTTTGCTTAGGCCGTTCTGTGTCTGGAGCGCCTATCCAAATTCTATTCCCAACACTTCCTAGCTGTGTGACCTTGGGCAAGTTGCCTGGCCTCTCCGAGTCTATTTCTTTAATCTGTAAAATTCCAGGATTCTTAGAAGGCTCCCTAGGCATTAAAGCACCTTGGGCATTGTATACTCTGAACATGTGGGCTGAGATTGCTGCTCTGTGAAGGCTCCTTGGACAATTACAGCTCCCAGTGGTCTTGCCTGCGTTGATCTGCTGGGGGGGGGGGTGCGCACGCGTGTGTGCGTGCTCGAGCGCCCCTGACTGGGCTCTTGGCATATGATGCCTTGCAGGCAGCAACCTTAGCTCACAAAGCAAGCGCTGGAAGGGACCTAAGACGCTATCTAGTCCAACTGCCTCATTTTTACAGAGGAGGAAACTGAGGCACACACAAAGAAGGGAAAGTGTCTTGCTCGAGGTCACACAGTTATGGAGCTGGGATTTGAACCCAGATTCTCTCCTCTCTATTAGTCTTGTTTTGTTTCTCCAACTGGTCAGGAAACTCCCAGACGGCAGGGACCTTGCTTCTCCTTCAGTCTCCCCCCATTAACCCAGGGTTGGGCCAATCACTGGATACTTACTAAATACTGATTGGCTAAGGCCTTTATGTCACTTGGATGGAAGGGGAGGGGAGTCTCAGGTCCCAGGAAGAGAAAAGGAGGGGACCTTTCATCCCTCCAGGGTATATAGTGGTATGCTGCTAGGCTGGCATGCTATCCTTCTGTTCTTTCAGCAAGGAATAAGTGAAGGCCTGATATGGTGTTAAGGCCCATTCTTAGTCTTCTGAGGACCACAGTGGTCCTGGGTGCAAGGATGTTCGGTACGCCTCTGGGTTCGGTGGGGTCTGCACTCACCCGAACTGACAACAGTGTAGGGGATGAGGGTGACGTGGGCTGAGGGCTGAGCTCCGATGGCGAATGGGTGTGGCATCGGAGGCTGCCCTTCCGTGCCGGTAGAGGTGCTTGTCAAACCTACAGAAAAAAGCAAATGACAAAAAAGCTGGAGGAGAAAGGGGGGAGAGGCTGCTTGTGATACAGCCCATCCCCCATCCCAGACCTCAAGGCCAAGGCCAAGAGGATGGCTTCCCCCTCCCCCACTCCCTTCTTCAAATTGGACGGGAGGAGACGTGAACAGCCAAAGCACAAAGGTGTGGAAGGAAAAAAGGAGAGAGAGAGGAAGAGAGACAGAGAAGAGAAAGATGAGGGAGGGAGAGAGAAAGAGAGAGAGAGAAGGATGGAGAGGAGAAGAAAAAGAAGGGGGGAGAGAGAGAAGAGAAAGATGAGGGAGGGACAGAGAAAGACAGAGAGGAGAAGATAAAGAAGGGGGAGAGAGAAGAGAAAGATGAGGGAGGGACAGAGAAAGAGAGGGAGAGAGAGAGAGAGAGAGAGAATTTCCTGGTCCAGAGACCTTGAACCAAAGTCCAAGGGGAAGAGGCAGCAGCCTCTCCTCTTCCTTGTTTATACGCGCTTGTCCAGCAGTTTATGTGACCTTATTTGAGCCCTGAACCAACCCTGTAAGTTAGATAACTACCTCCATGCATTATAAGCACCATTTGACAGATGCTCCCACTGATGCACAGGAACGCTAAGTAATTTGCCTAGGGTCACAGAGCTGGTGAGTATCTAAAGTGGAACTTGAACCAAGCTCTCCCTGCTTCCAGTCGGGTATTCTCTCCCCTGCACTGCCTTCCTCTCCTCTGGACTCCCAAACAGCCTCCTTGCCTCCATTCTCTTCCTCCTGAGCTGTCTTTGGAAGACTTCCCTTCCCAGCATTCCTCAATGCATGCCCCCTGGCCAACTCCCTGGTTTTTACCCACACCCCTCCATTTGCACAGGCTGTCCCCCACACCTCCACACAGATATTCTTTCCTCATCTCAGCCACCTGGAAGTCTGGGTTTCCTTTAAGACAGCTCAACCCCCCCCCAGCCCCCACTGCTCCTGCCCTCCCTAATTCCTTGTACCCATTGGGCAGATGTTCTGAATATAATGTACTGGCTATCTCTACTTACTGTCCCCACCCTCAGCCCCAGCCCCCATTAGTATGTGAGGAGGATTGTTCCATTATCTCTTCCTGTAGCCTCAGTCTCTAGCACAGTGCCTGCACACAGTAGGTGCTTAAGAAATGCCTATTGGTTGACTGATTCAACTTCACAAACTAGTGAATCTTTATTATTTAAAAGTCACCTTTCTATCAGATGCTTGACACTTACTAGCTGTGTGATCCTGGGTAAGTCACTTTAACCCCAATTGCCTCACCAAAAAGGAAAAAAAAAAAATCACTGTTCTAGACATTTGGAGCAAAGAATTCTGAAGGTCAGAGTTGGTGGTGTCACAGGGGATAGAGTGCTGTATCCAGAATCAAGGAGATGAGTTCAAATCCAGCCTCATACTTTCTAGCTAGGTGACTCTGGGCAAGTCACTTAACATCTGTCTGCCTCAGTTTCCTCATATGTAAAATGGAGATAAAAATAGCACTTACCTCCCCAGGGTTGTTGTGTGGCTCAAATGAGCTAACATATGTACAGTTGTTTTACAAACCTCCAAGTTCCATATAAATGCTATCTGATGCTATTATTACTATCTCTCTAAGAGGGCTTGTTCTTAAGTAAGCCCTGAGGGAATCAGCTCACCTTTCTGTAAACTCCGGTGGAGAATGTTTTCAGTCACCTGGAAGAAAAAAAGGCAGACATAAGAGAGGCCTGAGCTGGCAGGTCCAAAGTCAATCAACATTTATTAAGTATCTACTATGTGCCAGGCACATAGGGGCAGCTAGGTATTGCAGTAGATAAAGCACCAGGCCTGGAGTCAGGAAGACTCATCTCCCTGAGTTCAAATTTGACCTCAGACACTTTCTTAATGTGTGACTCTGGGCAAATCATTTAACTCTGCCTCAGTTTCCTCGCCTGTAAAATGAGCTGGAGAAGGAAATGGCAAACCACTCCAGTATCTCTGCCGAGAAAACCCCCAGAAAGGGGTCCTGAAGAGCCAGACAGGACTGAGCAACAGTGTTCTACAATCTGGGGATACCCAGAGACAAGTGAAACAATGCCTGCCTCCTTTCCAAAGGCTTATGTTCTAGCAGTGAAGGCAATACTAGGTAATTTAGGGAGGGAGGAAGGGGAAGAGATGAAGTGTCCTGTGTGAGGAACAGAAAAGAGCTTGGCCAGAACACAGAACACACAGTGGTGAGTAATATGTAAGAAGTCTAGAAAGGTGGCTTGAAGCCCAGTTGTGAAGAGCTGGAAAGGCCAGGCATACAGTCCTAAAGGTAAGAGGGAGCTACCAAAGTTTACTGAGGGGGTGTTGTGTGTGTGTGTGGGGGGGTCGAGTGTAGAGGTGTGTGGGGGTGGGGCATTTGCTTGAGCATGTGTGAGCACACATTTGTATGTGTGTGTGTGTGTGTGTGTGTGTGTGTGTGTGACGAAGACAGGCAGACAGACCGAGGGGCAGGTCAGGAAGAAGGCTCCTCCCCGAGGCTGCTCACCGATGTCACGTAGGATTTGACGCTGCCCATGAGCTTGAGGCACGTCTGGTTGTGCAGCAGCTCCTCCAAGTTCGGGTTCTCCTGAAGGCTGGTGATCAGCTGGAGGCACTTCAACTCCTCTGGAATCCCCTGGGCCTGGGCCTTTAACTAAAGACAGACACACACACCCTCAATCTACCACCTTGCTCTCTTGGCAGCCAAGATTTCAGCCTAAATTCAAGCCAAGGAGTCTGACCCTGATTTGCTCTTGGCTCACCACTGTGTGACTTTGGCCAAGTTGTTTAACTTTCCTGAACCTCACTTCATTCATCTGAAAAATGGGTATATGAATACCTGACATTGTCAAGGGAAGATGTAGGAGAGTCCAAGAGGAACTTTTCCAACTTGCCCAGATCTCTGAGCTAAAAAGAAAACCAGGTTTGGAGAGCCTGCAGAAACGTCTGTTGAATTGAATTGGTCCAAACAAGGCGGCCGGCTTCTCAGCAGGCCTGAGCTGAGGCAGAATGGCGAAACATCCCTGTCAGCAGTATCATACTCGAGTCCCCATGCGGACTGCTCACCAGGACCCTAGTTCATTGTCACCGATCAAAACTTCTCATCTTAGATCCCCCATAGTCTTAGGGCCAAGCTCTCTGTGGGCCCACTTGGCATCCCTCCCTGGCCCTTCTTCCCCAGGCCATTCTCACACACTCCTACCCACCACTGCACTACGTGTGGTTCTTCAAGTGTGGTCTAGGGATCCCTGGGGGGTCCCTGAGACCATTTCAGGGGGGTCCACAAGGTCAAAACTATTTTCATAACACAAAGACATTTTAATTTCCAATATGGTAACTATAACCCACATAAAAGCTCTTTGGGGAGGTCTTCAATAAATAAAGGGGTCCTGAAACCAAAAAGTTTGAGAACTGAGGATGCCGAGTAGTCTCATGGGTGGGGCTTGTTTGGAACATTCCAATTCGATTAAATGAGGACATTACCCAGAGCCTCCTTCCTCTGTCAGCCTGGTTCCAGCTCCTCTGTCTCCCCTCCAGATGCCTATGACCCACCTTCCCCTCACTCGCTTCCCTTCTTCCTCCTCATCCCTGGCCTCATCTCTCCCTTTCTGCTCCTCTGTCCTCTCCATGGCTGTTTTCAAGCTTTCTCAGTTCAGGCCATTCTCCCTAATAGGCCCCACCTGGGGGAGGCCAGGCTGAATTAGTGAGAACATCGGCTTTGCTCTCAGGTCCCATTCATTCACAGCAGCATTCTGACGCCGTTAGACCACTGCCATGAACCTGGATGTCATTGGGAGGAGTGAGGAGGAGGCCTCTCTGAGGCTAAAATGGCTCTCACAAGTCCATGCTTTAGGACCCAATTTATACCAAAGCAAAGGCCAAAGCAAAGGCCCCGATTTGGGGCAAAAAAAAAATAAAACAACCCAAACCACAATCCAATAAAGCAACTAGAGCATTGAGCCACGGGAGGAGACCTGGCAGGCTGATCAGAAAGCAAAGACAAGGTCTGTAGAAGAGCGTCGCGGGAAGCAGCTGGATGGCAAGTCCACCGAGACCTAAAGGTTTGCAAATGGCTTCACGTTCACTAACTCATTTCAGATTCACTGTATCTCAAACAGCCTTCTAGTGTTGGGATAAATGCCCTGGCCACCTCAGCAGCCCCAGGGGCGTGACAAAAGGGGATGAGAGCATCTTCTGGCCCAGCCCAGGCCCTGCCTGCTCACCAATGGGAAGAGGACCAGCTGGAAGTATCCAAGCCATCATAGACAGTTTGCACCCAAAGAAATAGATACTTAACCAGAAAACAGGAGCCCCATTGAGAGCAATGAAGACAAAGAGCAGGCTGGGATTTTAGTCTGAAGTGGTGCAGGAGCCGGCTTTCCTCAGCCCTCGGGAACACCAGCTTGTTTATTTTAGAGGCAGCCAGGCATAGTGGAAAGGACAGGACTGCGGAGTTAGGACCTAGATTCAAATCCTCCCCTTGGCTCTTATAATCTGCGATTGGACCCTGTTCTGAGCCTCAACTTCCTTTGCTGTTGTTTAGCTGGTTTTCAGTTGTGTCTGACTCTTTGTGACCCCATTTGGGGTTTGCTTCGCCAGTGAGTGTCTGAGGTCACATTCGAACTCAGATCTTCCCAAGTCCAGGCCCAGCGCTCTATCCACTGTGCCACCCAGTTGCTCTAGGTGAAAAATAGTTCATTGGCATTTCACAGGGTTGTTGTGAGGCTCAAGAAAATAGTCTCCAAGGCCAAAGTAAGCTCTGGATGGTGGGCTTACGGCCCTTCTGTGGCCCTCTCTTTGTCATGCTCTCCCGTGGACATCTCCTCTCTCACGTCCTTTTAGGGGACCCCCAAGTTCGACGTGTCTCTAATCCTCCTGTCTTAGACTTCCAACTACCAGCTACCTGTGCCTGAGCTCTAGCACTTAAGCAGTGGGTAAATGCCCAGCTAGCAGGGCTGAAAAGAGCACTAGAAGAAGCCAAATCAGGAGTAAGTGGGACCTTGATCAGAGCACAGACTATGAACCAGGGAAGAGGGAGGCTGCAGGGGCACAACCTGGCATCACTCTGGGGTGACCGGGCTGAAATGTTCTTCCTGCTTCCCAAGGTGGCAGAGAGTATGTCCAGAGGCAACAATAAAACTTATCTTAAAAAACATAAAGTAGCCTGACTGTGGATTACAGCAACACATGAAACCATGGCAAAGAAATACTGTTATTAAGCTGGCAGGAGCCCCTCCCTTGCGTAGAAGCCTAGCCCACCCCCAGCCGTGGCCCCAGTTCAGGGCTGGGGGGAAATGAGGACCCAGGGGATCCAAATCCCAAGAGCCTCAGAGGGACCACCTGTTCTGTGCCAATTCCAGTCACTGGCTCTTCTGCTCCATAACTCAGTGCCCTGGGGACGGGGGCTGGCCTTCCTCAACTGAGACCTCCCAGGGACTGAAGAGTCAGTCAGCGGGGCTCAGCAGGGGAACAGAGATCGTGGGGGCCACTCCCCCAGGCAGATGTTTCCTCCTCCACAGAATGACTGCTGATGACATGCACTAAGAATTCTGAGACACCCTGGCTTGTTACTTCCCCCATTTGACAATGAAATAATTGCATCCCAGAGTTCGTCCAAGGTCCCCCAGCTGGTACTAACTTGCTCTCCTGACTTACTATATACTTTCCCCTACCCTATAATGCTGCCCTGAACCTATGGCCAACCCCAAAAAAATATAACTGTGGAAGACATACACACACCTAGAAAGAATTTACAGGATCATCTTGCCCATTCATTTTCTAGATGGGGAAACTGAGGCCCAGAGAGGGGAAGGGCCCTGTAGATTAAGTGGCAGAGGTGGGATCAGAACCCAGGTTTCCTCTGACTCCAAATCAAAGGTACCCTCTGACATGGCACCTCACCTGCCTCCCAAACACTGTCCCAACACTACCCCTGTGCCTGGCTATGTGACCCATGACCAGTCTAGGTGTGCCAGGTACCACCAGTCATAGTCTGGAGCTCTGCCCCCAAGATGCTCTACTGGACAGAATCCATTGCCTGAGGAAGGTCCAAGCCTGCTAGACTGTCCCCAGGCCTAGTCCTATGTTCCCAGGTCCCTGAGCCTGGAGCCCTTCTGCACCAAGGGGAAGTCAGTAACCAGAAGTCCAAAGGGATAGGGAGTGAACGCCTCAGCCCAGAAAGCCAACTGAGGAACCTGGAGCCAGTCAGCCTTTTCCCTCAGGGTAGCTCTGAACAGCTTGGTCTGCAAGGCTGTTCTGGGCCTCCTACTGCCCAGGACCAGGTCTTGGATTTCTCTGACCCCCTCCCAGATCCTTCCCCCACTCTGTGCCCAGTCCAGGTCTGGCAGTCAGGCGGGGCTCCCCAAATGCCAGTGGAATGACTAGCTATGTTCTCCTTCAGCCTGTCTTCCTCTGGAGGCCGAGGCCTTCCATAGAACCAGTCAGCTGTATTTGCACATGGCCCAGTAACGAGAAAAACTCCGTGGGGCTAAGGAGGTGCCGTCCATCTTGGGATGCTAGACAGCCAAAAGACTGGAAGATAGAATCCAGTGTGAGAGAGAGACACAGAGAGACACGGAGACAGAGGCAGCCACCCCTTCTGGTGTGAAGGCAAAAGGCCTGGGTTTGGACTCTGGAAAGGAGATGGGGTCCCATTCCAGTTCCACCATCAAGGAGCATCTAGTCTTAGGAGACCCACTTCCAAAGTAAAATGGGACAAGTGCTATGAAATCACCAAATGTTTACTGAGTACCTACCAACTCTAGAAGTGACGAGATAGGATACGTAGCAGAACCATGCTGGATTTGAGGTCAGAAGGCACAAGGTCAAATCCCAGCTTCCTCACTTACTCTGTGTGATCTGGGATAAGTTACTTCTCTCTGGGCCTCAGTTTCCTCATAGACTCAATGAACCACAAGAGGCCAGTCAGCTCTTGATGCTACAACTTTTTGAATTCAGAAGGTCTATTAGGCTTTCAGTGTCTCATGGAGTGAGATGAAGGGACAAGTGGGCTTTGACTCATCTCGGATGGACCTGTGTGTTCCTGGGTCCCGAGAGCTAGTAATTGGGGAAGCTGATCTAACCACATTTGAGAAATAACAAAGTCTACTGATGTCTTTGATATTTAGTCATTTCTGGAAATGCCCCCCCCCCAATTGAACTCTCTCTTACAATAAAGAATCAAGGACTGGCTGAGGTGGGCACAGCTGCCACCATTGTACCCCAGCAGCCTCGGCCTCTCCTGACTTCTGCTAGTCCTTCTTGAGGTTCTGGCCCACGTGCAATGTACACATCGTGCTGTCTCCTCCACTTGAAGGTGAGCTCCTCCAGGGGAGAGATCCAGGGGATCTAAGATGAGTCTTTCTCTGAATTCTCCGGACTTAGTATAGTGCCTGGAACGTAGTAGGTGGTTGCTGCCCGGCTCATATCCAAGTATCAATACATTTTGAAAAATAAAAGTAATCCAAGGTGTGAGTGAGGTGAGGTGATGTGGGGTGGGGTGAGACAGCCCTGTGCTGACATGCCCAAGTAAAAACTGACCCACAAACCAAGTGTCAGAAACTGCAAGTTAAGATTTTGCACTGGCTGTGAGCCTGGGCCTGTTCCATTCCGGGAAAGGCAAAGCTTGCAGGGGCAACTCAAGTGGGGGTGGAGAGGGTAGTCAGAGCCAAACCCAGGGTAAGGAGGGGCTGATGCTCACTAGTCTGGGAGCTCAGATTCAAGGCAATTGGACTAGGCCAAAAGACTGTCTCCCCTCCCTCTCTCCCTCCTTCCCTCAGGCTCTGTAATGTATTTCCAAGATTTCCCAAGAATCAGTCACCATATACCACATGGGGCAAACAGCTGGGATTTGCCAGCCACCTCTTCCCCAGCATGCAAAGATCTTAGAGCTGGGAGTCAGAAGCTCTGGCTCTGAGCCTCAGCTTTGTGGCTGGCTCAGACAAGCCAGAGTTCTGTAGACTGGTAGAACAGTAGGGCTGGAGGGGACTTTAGTCTCAGGAGTAAAAGGAGGCAGCCTCAGGGAAGTCAAGTGAGTTGGACAAACCCTGGCAGCCACAGCGGCAGAGGTGGAACAGAACTCAGGTCTCCAAACTCCTGAGGGCAGGGCTCTTTTCATTTTGCCACAGTTTACCTCTGAGACTCATTTTCTGCTCTGTCACGTGGGGTGAGAGACAATCCCTTGTCCCAGCCTCACAAGCCTGGAGTGCAGTGAGGAACCAGTGAGATAATGCAGAGTGCCAAGGCAGTGAGAGCCAAAGTGAATGGTGACCAGGACACAGGTCCCTGGTGCCTGCTTGGAGAGCAGCGGCAGTTGTCAGGAGGGGGTATTTGCCAGACCCAGCCACCCTGGAAGAGGAGGAATGACAGCAAGACAAGTAGGAAGAGGGGGAGAGCCTCTTTGGACCCCCAAAGGCTCAGTGGCAGTAGTGAAATTGCCAATGGAAGGTGTTCACCACGACACCACCCAGAATGGCAAACAGAGCCTCCCTTCCACAGAAATGTCCCACAGTCACCTGAAGGGGCCCCTTTGGAGGAGGGCGTGTAGTCTGTGCCACCTGGGTGCCAAACAGCAGCAAGTTTAAATAGTCCAGAGACAAACCAGGCTATAAACCAAGGCTCCCGAGGCCACCTGCTCAAGAGTGGAAAGGAAATACCAACTCCCTTCTAACATAGAGGAAAGCTCAGCAGTGGGAAGACCTGGATACCTGCTGGGAATAGGTCACAGATTTAAACCAGAGGAGGACTGAAGAGGGCCATGAGGGAGGATAATCCATAGTACCCTTTCATTTGCAAAGAAAACTGTAGTGAAGACTTGTGAACCTGAGTACTTGTAAGGGGAACTGGTGGTGGCTCCTCTAGGGTAAGTGACAGACACTGAAGGTCCCCCAGCTTCCACCTATGGGGCAATAAGCCCCTCAACAAGTAAGAAGTCCCCAAAGTGTATCCAGGCTGATAGAATCAGGAGGTGCCTCAACCTGATAAATACTGATAAACTGAGGTAAGCAGCTCTCTGGCCAGAAAAGAAATAGGGCCGAGAAACAGTCTCGGAAACCTGAATGCTTCATCTTCCCTTGGGGAAGGGGGCTCACTCCTCCTACCTCCTCATCTTGACCCAGCTCTTCCACACTAAGGCAACCCTGTGAGACTGGAGTGAGAGAGAACCCTGGGAGTACGAGAGGCAGCAGAGACTGAGTGCTGGATTTGGAGTCAAAGGACTTGGGTTCTAATCTTGAGTCTGTTATGATCTGTGCAATTTTGGCGAGTCCTCTAATGAGGCTGAGCCTCAGTTTCCTCGGGCGTTAAATGAGGGGCTAAGAACGGACGTTCTAGCCTAGGAAATGGTTGGGATTCGAAAAAGGTCAAAGCTCACAGGTGGCCCTACAGAGGTGGAGGGGAAAGGTGGTAATTGTGGACTCTATTCTATTCCCAGGGTTCTGGCTTTGTCAGAGGGCACCTCGAATTGGCCAGCCAGGAGATTCTCCCCTGCCTGGAGCGTCTGGCACCCGCTCCCCCTCTTCAGCCTCGCTTTTCCTCAATCTTACTTTTGTTTTTCCACAGTTTGCTTCGGCGCGCGGGCTTTGCTTTCGTTTTCGTTTATAGCCAACGAACCTGCCCTTTGTCCAGGCGCTCAGGTCCTCCCAAGCTAGGCGAGGCACCTTTGGCCCGGGCCAGGGACGCGCGGGGAGGTCACGGCCGCGAGGGACCAGCCGAGGGCCTGTGGGGCTGCCAGCAAAGCTCTCCCTTCCCAGGCAGCCCAAGGGGTGAGAGAGAAGCGGAACCTGGCCGGGCGACTAGCCTTCAGCCCCTGCATCCATATGGTTGTAGTCGCCAAACTGCGTCTCATGGACGCCGCCTCCGCAGTACGAAGAATTCGTGTATAAGCACAGACTGGGGGTACTTATGTACAAAAAGATCGCAAAGAAAACAGACTCCTCTCCTGGCGCGATTCCGCCGCGTATAGCTTTTTACTAATCCGCCCCTTGTTCCCAGAGAGCTTCTCCCTCAAAGTGCTGAATGGATAGATCTAGGGGCATGCAGCCGTGCCTCCCCTTACCTGCCTGCCGCCAGTGCCTAGGTTTTCTGGAGAAAGGTGGGGGAAAGGAGGAAGCTCGCAGGCCACCTACGACCCAGGGCAGAGCTCCAGCCCCGGCTCACCTTGGAAATGGACATGGTGAAATAGACAAAGAGGCCGGTGGTGGAGGCGACCTGCAGCGCTAGGATGGCCATGGCCGTCGTGGCGAGCCACACGGGGCTGCAAGACCCCGACCTCCCCTGCTTCCTCCTCGGGACCTCGGGATCCTTGGAGGCCCCCATCATGCACGCCGAAGAGTCGCTGCTGTCCGATCGGAAATAATGCTGTGTGGGGGGCGGCAAGCCCATGACCAGGCCCGGGCAGCAGCGGCTAGTGAGCGAGAGGTCGGGCGGGGCAGCCTGTCCGAGGAAAGCGGGGTCCGTAGGTCCAGGAGACGCCAACGATCCCGAGCTGCAGCTCCGAAGCGTCTCCGCCTCTCCGGGGCCCGCCCCCCGCCACACCAGCACACAAACACAAAAGCAGCCTGGCCCTGCTAACCTTGCTCGGCCCTCAGGCCAGACGAGAGGGGAGGGAAGAGGCGTGGGAGAGCCGGGGAGGAGTTGCCGAGATTGTTTACGAGTCCCAGGCGCGTCCCAGGAGTTCATTGATTCCCCGCTACTTAGAATGGAGTGTAAAGGTAAACCTCCCAGGGGCCTCTAGGAGATGTCACTTTCTTTTGGTCCTTTCCAAGGACCCTGGGAGCTCCGCTGGAGCCACTGGACTGAGCCCAGAGGCCTTTGCAGAAGCTCGCATTCTGCTTGTAAAAGCCGGTGGGATTCGTTCATTCCTTAGTCCTCTGGCGCTGCTCAGCGCTTCTCTAGCCATGGCCACGTAGTTCTACTCCTGGCTTCTTCCTGCCTTTATGAACCGGTCACACTCGCCTGCCGGGGGAAAGAGTCTGTGTACTCCTTCGGCCCTGCTGGGTAGGAGCTCCGCCAAGTGTCTGAGCAGCCCTTTTCGGGGGCGAGAAGCTGAGGCTAGAAGTTGGAGTTAGGGGGCCTGACTTGAAAACCTGGTTCTGCAGCTTCAAATTGTGACCTTGTCCAATTAGCTGTCTCCTGGACAGACTCAGGTTTGTCTGGAGAGGCTCAGCGCCATCTTGGTCTCAGGGTGACGAATTTTTCATCCCTAGCAACTACTCAAAGACGATCCATCTCCCAAAGCACAGCAAAGTTGGGATGCCAACACCCAGGAAATGGTGGCACCTTGAATTTCTGAAGTCTTAAGACTGGAAAATGCCACTCGTGACTCCCTGATCTGCCTCAGTTGTCCCAAGTGCTCTCTCTCCTCCTCAGATCACCTCAGATTTACTGACGTGTAAATGGGGTAGAATAATCCCCAAGTCGTATAATCACAATGGCTAATATTTGTACAGCGTTTTAAGATTCTGATCCTCAATCACCCTGGGGAGGTAGGTGTTATTTTCTCCCTTTAATAGATGGGGAAACTGAAGCAGAAAGAGGCTAGTGCACTCACATATTCAGGACTACAGGTCAGGTGCCCTGGCCACTGGGCCTCCAGTTGCCTCCGCCTCAGCTCCGGGAGGATAGATAGGGGACTGGTCTCCATCTCCAGTGTCTGGCATTTCCCCTTGCATATCTATAGAGTGGAACAGGAGGAATAAGCATTGATATAGCTCATACCTTATACCAAGCACTGTGCTAAGCACTTTTTACAAATAGCTCATTTGATCCCCACAACAACCCTAGGAGGTAGGGGCTCCTACTATCCCCATTTTACAGTTGAGGAAACTGAAGCAAACAGAATTTTTTTTTACTTGCCCAGGTTCACATAGCTAAGAAATGTCTGAAGCAGGATTTGAACGAGGGTCCTCCTGTCTCCAGCCCCCTACCCTACTCCCACACACATTTGCTCTGCCACATCCCCTATCGGCCTCTATATAGTAATAAATGCTTGTTGGTCTTAAGACAGAAGCCTTGGGTTTGACTCTGGCCTCTTTCACTTTTAATTTGATGACCTCAGGCAAAGTCCGTCCTCTTTCTGGACTTGAGTGTCATTATCTGTAAAATTAGAGAGCTTGACTAGATTGGCAGACCTTACAATCTGGTCAGTAACTCCAATTAATAAACATTTATTAAGTGCCTATTATGGGCCAGGCACTGGTAAGTGCCGGGGATATCAAAAGAAGCAAAAGACAGTTCCTGCCCTCAAGGAGTTTACAATCTAATAGGGGAGAAGACATGTGAACAAGCATATATAAAGCAAACTGCATACAGCATAAATAGGAAATTTACATTTAGGAAGAGAAGGCAGGCACTAAAATTAAAAGGGAAAAGCTTCTGGTAGAAGGTGGGATTTTAGCTGGAACTTGAAGGAAGCCAGAGAAGCTAGGAGGCAGAGATGAGGAGGGAGGGCATTCCAGGCATGGGGGAGAAATTTCCCAGAGCCAAGAGAGGGAGCATCTTGTTCATGGAACAGGTAGGAGGCCAGTGGCAGTAAAGGGAGTTGGCAGGGAGAAAGGTTTAAAAAGACTGGGAAGATAGGAGGGGGCTAGGTTATGAAGGGTTGTGAAGGTTATGAATACCAAGCAGAGCATTTTGCGTTTGCTTCTGGAGTTTGTTGAGTAGGGGGTGTGTGTGTGTGTGTGTGTGTGTGTGTGTGTGTGTGTGTGTGTGTAGCATGATCAGACCTGGGCTTTGGGGAAATCACTTTATTCTGGAAGCAAATATTGAGCAGTCTTTAAATTCTTCCTTCTTTCTGTCCCTTCCCCCATCCCCAATCTCCATTCACCTCCTCAGCTCCCTTAAACCATCCATCTCTGCTGTTAGAGGGACCTAGATTACAGAGAGAAGCTTCAGGCCTACCTAGCCAACTAGGAGAGCTAGAAGGGAGGAAGGAAACTTAGACGTCATCTTGGCAGATCCTCTCAGTTGAAGTGATGAGGAAACTGAGTCCCGGAAGGGACTTGCCCAGTGTCACACAGGTTACAAATGGCAGAGCCAGGATTTGAACAGGGCCGTCTGATCCCCAAGTCCAGAACAAAGTGCTTTCTTAAGCAGTTTTTCCTTATAGTGAAAATGACCTCGGTCTCTCTAACACTTTCCTATTGGTCATAGTTCTGCTCTCTGGCTTGAAAGAAAAATCAAATCCCTTTTCCACTTGACAACAATTCCGATACTTTTCTTGTATTCATCTCTTGAGAAATTAACAGCAGAGGGCTGGCCTGCCCTCCACCTTCTACCACTCCCCACCCACCCCAATGGACGCTTGGCTCTTTCTGGTCCCTGCCATCTGGAACCCTCCATTCCAGAGCTGTCTTGGTCACCTATTCCTGAAACCTAGCTTTGTCCTAAGGCTCCTTGATCGCAGTCCCCCAGCCCCCTCCCCATATATTGGACACGTACAGACTTTCCCTCTGCCCCCATCACTCAGTAACTGCTTCTCTCTCTAAGGTGACTCAATCTTTGTCAGAGCCTTCCAGCTCTCATCTGAAGACCTCCAGAGTGGCTCTTCCTCTCCCCCTCCCCCACCCCCACCTGCCCCAATCACGTTCGCAATTTCTTTCTCTAGCCCTAGTCGCGTTCCTTCCCAACACCCCTCCGACCTCCCATTTCCTTAACTTTCCTCTGCCTCCGGGCTCCCAGGACTGCATACAGAAATGAGCATCCCTAAAAACAGGGGCTCCCAAACTAGGGGCTTCATACTCCTAGGGTGCCCCGAGAAGCTAGTCAAGGGAGTAAAAGGACTCTGGTAAATAACATTACTATTCAATTGAGATTAATCTCTAGTGTTCCTTAAGTGCTTATGTCCTTTCCAAGCATTGTAAGGGTGGGGTGGGGGTGGAGGTAGGGCGGAGATTTACTGAAAGCAGAAGGGTATAGGATGGGGAACCTAGTTTGGGGGACGGGGGTAATCCTAAACTGGATTACCAGTCCCACTGAGGGGCTTCAGCACAGCTACTCCCTCAAATCCTAACTATACTCCCCAGATCCCTACTCCCATGAGCAAAGATTTCTGGGCAATTTGTTTTGTTTTATGACTTTGGTAAGGGGCCCTCTCTACACAGAAAACCACCGGTTAACCCCCATAAAGAACTCTGCCCCCAGGCTCTGAAAGAGGCTGAGCTGGAGGAAAAAGGCCCAAGGCAATGTGGTTATTCAGCTCTAAGACCTCAGGGGGAGACTCTGAGTTTTTGCTTCTATCATAGATCCCTAGGGCGTAGTCCTAGTTGGGAGTTAACTGTCTGTAGGGTCAATAGGACTAGAGAAATCAAACCAATTTAAACAATTTTTCAAGTTGCTTGACTTAGAATGTCTGCTCCACTTCCTCATTGGTTTTGTATGTGTGCACTGTGGCCGCCCCCCCCCCCCCCCCCCCCGGAGTGAGTGTGGGTATGGATATGGGTGTGGGTGTTGGGGAGGGACCTTGGCGACCTTGGCGTGTATTCATGGAATGCCCTCGCTACCTATTCTACCCAGCTGAGACTGCAAGGTCCCGGGTGCTCCCAGACTGCTGCCTGAGGGTCTGCCTTGGCTAGGAGAGGCTTCTCCGAAACCCTGAGGGTGATGAATTCTATCCCCTCCCAGCAAGAGAAAGGAAATGTCCCTTTGTTCCGAAGGGAAGTGAAAGGGGGCGGGGGATTTTAAGAATTCTGTCAGCTTTCAATTTTCTACTTGTCGAGAATCCAACTGTCTGTCCTCTAAATTGGCCGCCAAATTGTTGTCCTCCCATGGTAGGTTCAAAGCTTTCTCTAGGAAAGGATGATAAGCCTGTTTAAAATCAACCCAATCTTTTTTTCTCCACTTGGCAGAATCACCTGAGCCTTCCGGGGGCCTGTGCTGCTGTCCCATGTCTCTCCTCCTCACTGCTAAGTTTCTGAAAAAAGTTGTTGAGACCCAGTAATACTAAGGGATCCCACCCTCATTTGAGCCTTAAAACCACCTTGTCAAGAAAGCACTATAGGAATTATTGTTCCATTACTACAGATAAGGAAACTGAGGCTCAGAGTGATCAGGTGACTGACTAGCTCTTGGTCCCATGGCTAGTAAAAACAACCAAGTAAGGACTGGAATCCAGGTCTCTGCTGACCCCACTCCACAGACGCTGCTTCCACCTTCAAATCTTCTCTATCAACTCTCCATGTTTGCAACCTAGACTTCTGCTGAAAACCTGTTCTTTCAAAGGCCCTAAATGGCACCTCTCACTTCTCAGTCTCAAAGGGACTGCCTTTGTTTCCCCTCTCCCCGCCCACCCCAACATATACACGCTCATATGTTATATGGGGCTGCCCTGCTGTCTCTGCTGTGGGACTGGTGATCAGGTCTATCCTGACAGCTCCACATAGGAACAGAAACTGGGGGCCTGGGCTCTCCAAGTCTGCTACTGGCTCTCTTACATTTGGGTACCAAGCTGATGAACCATACATAGCATCTCCTTGGTGGGACACCTGGTCCCGCCTCTGTTGGTGGCACAATAGAGAGAGCACTGGACCTGGAGTCCTGAGTTCAAATTCAGCCTTAGACACTTCCTAGCTGTGTGACCCTGAGCAAGTCAGTTAACTGCTGTCTACCTCAGTTGCCTCATCTGTAAAGTGGGGCTAATAATAGCTCCTACCTAACTTCAAGGGCTGTTGTGAGAATTCAATGAGATATTTGTAAAA